GTTTATTTTGTAAAAAGTCATGGAACAAAAATTGTTGTTTAAGATGTTAGTAATATAGTCTTGCGAGGTTCTCAGTATATTACAAAATAAAGCTCTGTATATCAGTAATAAGTGAAACAAAGTCAAACAAAGTATTCCCTTCCCATTGGTTGGAAGGTGTGGATCAAGGCAATTCACAATATCTATACTGTGTGAAATTGAATACTTTAAATTATTTGAAAGATATTGTGTTAAAAACAACACAACTTATTTGTCCCGTCATTTGATTTAATAAATAAAAGTTTTATTCTATTATAAATCAATTATAATGAATATAGTCCATTTCACATAGGATACTATGACATTTCTAATTTTTCTAATTTTCATGTTGCATGCATATTTTAAACTAATCTCTCAACTATAGATTACACAATGAACTAGTCAATTTGTTACAATGTACCAAAAACAAATAACATTTGTTACAGTTGTAATTGGACGTACTTAACCAAAAAGGATATAATCCACAAAATTATCAAAAAATTTGTTAAATGTACCAAAGGTTCCTAAATTCTAGCCTATTAAATCATCAAAAAAATCCAACATATAAACATAAATAAACATCTCTGGAGTTACATGACATTATAAATTTTGAAAATAAAACCAGACTGTGAAGCACTTTTAAACTTCAAATTGTCATATCTTGAAAGTGAGTGGATGTGCAATGGATCCTTTTTGTTTAACTACATCCAATTGTAAGTAAAAATCACAGTATATTAAGTAGATAGGAAATGAAATGATAAAGATAAAAATAAATTACCCCAAATTACTTGATGTGTAAAAAAATATTTATCCATAGAGATTTATACCATAGAATAATAATAAAGATAAACTGAATCGGCTATTGAGTGTCTCGCTGACATGATACATGCTTACACTGTGTATTTGGATAGTTTTTTGTTTTGAGCTTTACATAATGTTTTTGAAGTAATTGTTCAAATTTTGGTTCATTGCTGCTGATTTTATGCTTTACTGCTGCCTTTTTATTTGGTTGTCACGAATATTTTTTATTTGCTGTGTACTTTTTTAGTAACATAATAATCAATAATAAATCATAAAAATCCTTTTCATTTTGTTTATTAATTGCTCTTAAATTCTTTTCTCTAATCGATTCACTCTTTGTTACAAGTTATCTCCATAAGATATTTAAATAGAATTTTTTTTAATCAATTTTACATGACAATCTTTAGAAACTTCACATCTCAAATGTCACTGTACCCATGCTATGTCAAATGAACTATAACACTGAATTCTACTTCAGCATTAGTTATAAACATATTATGATAGGGTGAACTCACAGCGTATGACCTATAATGTCGCTTTTTCCATTCAACCACGATTACTTGGGCGACGATAAGAGTAAATATAAGGATCATAACCATCGTAGTATGCATTTGTTCATGCCCCCGGTGCGCTTCGTGAAGTTTTTGATGGTCATACCTGAATCATAAAACTAAGATATAACTTCATGTAGTTCGATAACATAGTAGTTAATTCAGTAGAACATTACCTTAACTTCTCTTCTGAGGTTAGTTCCTCATAAGTCTGCAAGTAGATAGCGAATTTTAACAATGATTAATGGTGTATTGGTAATACAAAATTAAAGAAACCTTATCATAAAACCCACCTTGTTCGGGTCGACAGGACGATGAAGATCCATGGTGAGTGTTAATAACTTGTACTAATTACACTAGAATTAACAAATAGTGGCTCTGTAGAATCACATTCAGGTTAAATGGGATTTTTATTTTATCAAATAAAAATGTGCAAGATATCGCAAACCGTACAACGGCTGCTGAAACTTATTATGTCAATGTCAATTAGACTTTTTCCTTTTTAATTTTTTTATTTTTTATTTACTGAGCATTGGCTACAAGGCCATCAGCTTAAAACTACAACAAAACATTAAAAGGCGTTTTGTAACGACTCGAGTCCATTTTTAACCGACTTCAAAAAGGAGGAGGTTTTCAGTTCGACTGTATGTTTTTCTTGTTTATTTCTTTTTGTATGTATGTTATGCGATAACTCCGGTATTTGTGAACCGATTTTCATGATTCTTTTTTTGTTGGAAAGGGGGTACTTCCATTGTGGTCCCATTTCATTTTGAAGGAAATCATCCACCTCTAAGAATGGCTGTTCACGCATGAAGATTCATTTTTATAAATAGCGCCTAAATTTTCTTAAGGAGCAATTATTTTAATGGTTGATTTTGCTATCTGTCTCCAATTCAAGGCGTTTTTCTCTCAATATTCTTTAGAGTAGTGAGAACCGATTTGTATTATCTCCAGTGTCAAGTCCTGTATAATGGCGAATTTAAGGATATTTCAATAAAACTTAGCAAATAGACGTAATTCCACCTACTTTTGAGGTCGGTTTTTTAGTACTCTGTACTGATTTATACAGGACTCGACTCTAAAATTAAGACTGGAGATTCGAGTTTTTATTAATAAGACTCAATCATTATATTAAAAGACTTAAAATACTTATACGACTTAAACGACTTAAACGACTCGAGTTGTTTGCAATGGACTTATATCCATTTTAGTCTTATTAAACCCGAAATTTATAAATAGTAATAACGTAGTATGTAGTAAATAATGACGTTTATTTACTTATAATAAAAATTAGGATTCAAAGAGTGATTTAAGCAATAGGTACGAGATTTTAAGACCTAATTATATAATGATTACATACAATACTTTTTCTGCAAGTAAATTAAAATAATTAAATACAACCAATATTTAAAAATCTATGGAAGTTCAATTCTAACGTGCTCTTTATATTATTTTGTGTAATATTGGTCTATAACCACTTTTCTTATTATGAAATTCTGGTACTTTTTAAAACTTCTTTAGAAACCCGTGCACAGTAATGAGCTACAATTTATCTGTAATACATAGAACAAATATATATATATACATAAAACTCTCGCCTTACACCCGTTCAGGGGTAGGCAGAGACTGTGGACCTCCACTTAATACGTTCATAAATAGCATATTTCATTCATCATTATGATCATTTAATGTCTGAAACGACAGTATCAGACATTAAAATTTGTTAAAATACTTTGACTGTTGGGTTCTGTATCCATTCATTTTTATATTAAAGAAACAAATAATTCCCAAAAAACAAATTCTTGAATTGGTTATAATTAACTGACTTCTGTGAATTAGTCTTCAGTTTTAATCTTATGACTCAAGACTTGAGGGTTAAAAGACTAGACTAGTCGTGTGGCGTTAAAAATTAGTCGAGGTTTTTTAAAAGGCCTTAAAAGACTGAGTCCATCGAGTATATACTGAGTCTCTTCATCACTAACTTAAACACTACAAAGTAATACTTTTTAATTTCTTTATCGACATCCTTTTGCTTGACAATATCGTAAATTTAACAAATAAAAAATATACATTCTTCTTAAAGGCTATGTTGTTGTCTCTGTCGTAATTGTCGTCTATTTTAGGATATTATTTTTCAAATTATTTATTTATAAAGCATTGACTTCAGAGCCATCAGCTTAATGGTAACAAATAATCAAGAAACGCACAACGTAATATACATAAATTAAAAAATAATTAGTGTAAAAAATGTAACTATTAAAATCCTCCATTTTTCTAATTATTTTCAAAAACTTATACGGTTTTTGTTGATATATTTTTAACGAAATGAATTACTTAAGAGAGGTACTTTTACCAAAATGCCTTAGAGGATGAAAAAAATAAAAGAACAAAATGCTATCTTTTTTCGTCCATACTTATTTACTTGTGAGCCAATTATTCAAAAGAGACACATAAAAGACTTCCAGAAAAAAAATTGAAAAAAACAAAAAAGAATGGTGTGTTTTTGTAGTTACAGTTTTTCAAAAATTATTTTTAATCCTTTGTTGCTTGTTTAAGCTGATGGCTCTAAAGCCAATGCTCAACAAATAAATAAATAAGTAAATAAAACTTCTAGAGAAATGTCAGTGTCACCATCACCAGGCCCCATAAACAAAAAGAGACGAAGTTAAGATTTCCGTTTTATTTTATTGAAATTAAAATGGTATTATGAACGTTTTCGCCAAAGATAATTACATTATTAAGTATGCAGTATTATAAATTAGGAATTTGTTAGAATTAGAAGCTGAAACGTCGATGTCAGTCCGATCAAACGCTCCAACTATGCCGAATAGAGGTAAAGAGTAAAATCATGGTTTCCTTGCTAATTCGGTGGCTGCTGGCACATTAAGCTATTATAATATTTTTGTTAATTTAACTTTTCAGAGAGCAATAGGGGTCAAACCCTAGAAAGTAAAGCTGCATTGAGTCCTGTTCAACATGTATCTAGTGCAAAACCAGCTGGAGTCCCTTCAAAAATTGTCGCTGGAAAGGTACGTGCTATGTTGTTTGCGCTGGTTTTCTTCTTCATATACGTGTTCCTATTTGTATGATTGTAACAGCTTGTTTTGGTGATCATGTACGCTGAAATTAGGGTACCTCGGAACAGGTAGGTTGTTTCAACAATACAGAACTGCATAGGGGCTGCAAGGTAATATATGGTTAATTTCTACGACGCCAAAGTGTGAACTAGCATACACAGTGCTACTATAATATGCGAAACTTACCTTGGTACATACTTATAACCTGCAATTTTATGTTGTAGGCCTACTAAATTTAAGTACAAATGTCAGCTGGTCTTACACTTATGATTTAAATCTTATTTCTTATAACACTTACATATCTAAAACTGACACTATTGAGTAACAAATTGCACCCCTTATGGAAGAATGGCATAAGTGGAGTTATGTCAAAAATGTTTATTGCTCCATTACAAAAATATAACCCACATCCTCTCCAATATATCCATAGAATTACAAATTATATTTTTTGTATCTATCCATGAGTGGTGCAAAAGTAATATGTAACTCAAACGTAATACTTTGCTCAAAATTTAAAAGACTGCCAGCCTGTGTAAGGTCATAAACAAAGCCTTGTGTAATCTCTAAACATGTTCTATTTGTGTCACAAATACTGCTACTGTACCTATTTCTACCGCGAAGCGGTAATGTGGATGTTATTGTGTTCTGCTTTTGAAGGGTAAGGGTGCTAGTGAAATTACAGGCACATGGGACTTGTCAACTTATCTTGGGTGCAGTGGCCTTCAAATCTTTGTGATTTACAGCCCTAAGTGGCACTAAAACTGTTATGAGTAAGCATGTCACTTACTACAAGGTGCATAAAGGTTGTTTATCTGATCACTTGGCGTCACAAAAAAAGAACTGAAGTATTTTCCTGACTTGATTGTTTTAAACTCCTTTAGTTGAGGCATGGGCCTGCCCAGTAGCAATAGTAAAAAAGTAGCAATAGTAAAATGTGACATAAGTTGTTGGGCTACTCCATGGAGAGTCTTGTTAATATTGGGTCTTAGAGGTGATTGTGTCTCTTTTTTTAAATATATTTCTATGTTACCAACCTTTGTTAGTGTGAAGTAAATATTGCTCATAGCCGATGCTGTATATACCTGTTATGAGTCACTACCAGTGACTGGAATAGGTAAGAGTCTTTTCGAGGACCGAGATAGAGAGTGGAGACTGCCTTACAATAATATTTTTAAACAATAATGTTTTATAGATGCTTTGTGTCATATGTTACTTAGATTGTAATAGGTAATGAGTTGGATTAATTTGTTAATCAGAATGTTCATAATTTTAATTGATTCGATGATTTATGAATGTCGAGTTTTGAAGATTGCACTGAAAATTATAAAAAAATTTATGTTTCTAATTTACGCAAAATAGACATGAGGCCGGTATCGTATCATATAAGGAGGTCAAGGAGCTTACGTATAAGAGAGATGGTTGGAAGATGCTCCACCGACAAGTATATGTCTCTTAAGTTTAATGATTATTATGAGACATGACATCATTTTTTAAATCAAATTTTTTCCAAACATAATATCGAACCAATAATAGGCTATGTATAATTAAAAAAGTTACACTTTAACATAAAAATAATACTAATTTATTTATTACCACAAATACAAAATACAAATTACAGGAATACTACTTACACGTACAAAAAGTCTGTTATCAGTACAGATGGCACTATTTAATTGTGGATCAGGGCAACCGGCAATGTTAGACCCTGCCTCTCAAACTAAGCGAGCCTGTATAATAAGAGACAGTGCTTGTGCATGGCATAACAAAAAGCCATGGTAGCCTACTCGTTTAACCTTAAAGAATCTCAAGTGGAGGCCATAGGTTCGAACTAGAGATGAAACGGATATCCGGTAACTATCTGATATCTGGCCTATTTTAGCTGTCCGGCCGGATACCGGATATTAGAACTATATCCGGCCGGATACCGGATATTAGAACTATATCCGGCCGGATACCGGATATATATTTTTAAACTTTCGCGTTGCATTGTACTAACATTTGGAAACGGAAATAAACGCGTTTACATACGAATGGGTATTTTTCACACCTACCCAGTTTCCCAACGCTTCGGCCATCTATAATTTGAACAAACTGTCGTGAATCCTTTACAAAAGACGGTGTTTTTCCCACTAGTGGCTGCTATACTAACGCAACATGCTTTGCCAAGTCGTACGTAGGAGAAGCGATTTCACACACGATTGGTCGCAATGGCACGTTGGACTTGTGTATTTTTGGCAGACCGTACAGTTTCGGTGGTTGATGTGACTTTGGCTTGTATAATCTCTCAAACTCGTCTTCAGTAAATAAGTCCTGGTTTTTCTTAATCAGAGTTCTTATCTTACGCGTCACTCTGGCTGTAGGGCCGAACCGGTATCTTACAACCGGTTTGTAGACCTGTGTACTGCTCAACAAGTCCAGTATTTTAATTTTATTTGTTCATCACTACAGTGGCGTTTCCCTATCAGCCTTCAGCATCAAAATATTTTCATTTTCCTGAATGCTTTTTAGTGCTTGACGCTATTCTGCAGTGATGTTTCCGGTAGGAAGTTTCGATTTTCGTAAAATTACCGCAACGTCCTGTCTCAGGGCATCGTCATCGCCGGACGGTATTTTATTATGTGCTATCGTCTCTTCAATACTACTAATCACATTTTCAAAAGGTATTCGTTTAGGCGTTGGAGCAAAATTCAAACCTTTAGCCAATATGTTTAATGATACCGATGATACCGGATGTTTAAAACTGAGAAATTTTCATAATCAGTACGGCAAATAAATTGATTTATTGATTAAAGATTATAGTTATAGGATAAACAGCAACTACAGGATCGTTGTCAATCTGCATATTACTTGTAACTGAAAGAACTATGAAGTGAGATAATGCTATCTGTAAATTTAGTACTCAAATTTCAATAAAGGCAAATTATTGTGGATTAAGTCCAGTTTTTCTGCATTAAGTGGTAAAAGTTCGTTCTATTTTTGTTCACAATAAAGAGTAGTTTTAGAGGGTTGTTTTCACTATAAAGTCTTGCAAATTTGTGAAATTTTAAGTACTACTTGTTATTGCCAGACGATTAAATGAAAGGATCGGGGACACGATCGATTTGAACTGTCTTCAATCTAATACAATGTTTTTTTTTTTTCAATGTGAAAATGCAATCATTCACTTATCAATCAATCACGGCGATGTGCGTTGTAAACTGTTTACGACAACGGGTCAGGCGGCCGGATATCTGGCTATCCTTCCTAGGTGCCCGCCGAAGATCCGGTATCCGACCAAATCACTATCCGTTGCATCTCTAGTTCGAACCCGGGCGCGAGCCTCTCGAGGTGCGAACCTCTGAGATTTTCGGAATTTATGTGCAAAATTTAATTTAAAATTACCAGGAGCTTTTCAGTGCAGGAAATCATCGTAACGAAACCTGCACGTTGAAGATGGTTCATAGTGTTTAGAAAACGTGTGAAGTCTCCAACCCGCATTGGGTCAGCGTGGACTCACCGCTCACTTAGGCAAAATAAAATAATTTTCAACACTCACTACCACCATCAAAAATAATTGGAAACACAAAAAATCACAAGGAATATAATTGTATATGTAAACTCTGAGATGAAATCAAAGTCCAAAAATGTAAACGAATAACTGTCACTGTTGAAGTGACTTCTGATTCTTCTTTTAATATTATGAGTAATAATTAATCAAAAAAATCTTGCATTATTTTGTAGACCTTTTCACGTTTCCACTATCATTATTTTTTTGTTTTTTTTTTGGAATGGTAACACCTTTCTTTACACTTCAGGTCATCTCAGAGTTTAGTGAAGTTTATATAGATAATGCAGGTTTTGATTTTCAAAGGCGGTAGCACCACTGGACAGCGTCAACGCCCCCAATTCTTTCCTTTCTACCCCTAGGACTCTGCAGCGCCCACTGGCAGGGACCACTTTAAGAAACTATGACCTATGTCATTACTTTTCAAACTTTGTCACATTATTATTCAAAGAGCGAAATATCCTTCAGTAGTCAAGTTGTTAGGTTTTCGCTATTGTTACATATCGGAAATGAAATTATTTTTCGGCTCTAAATCGCCTATACTTTCGAACAAACCAAAGTTTCGGTCTCTTTACATGTCACGGGTGACTGAGATGGCAAACTATAATAGTATATTAATGCAAACTATCCTATTTAGAATTATTGGTATAATATACAAAAGTTATTAATTTAAATACCTTTTTATTAATTTACCAAAAATCTTCCTATTTACGCTGCATATGATTTGCTAATGTTTTATTTTACCAATATGAATATTTTTACTAAATTATATTAATTAATTACAAGGAAATTAGAAAATTATACATCAATAGAATTAAGCGTTTAGCATTATCGTTTACGTTGATGAATTTATTTAGTCAAGCTAGCAGCCTTAAAAGAAAACGTTTCTTAAAAAATGGGCACTTGAACTTGATGGCGATCATTTTTTTTTTTTTCATTATAGTGGATACATAGACTATTTAATTTGCATAAACGGTAATAATTCTATTACATGCAATAGTATTTAAACTTTCCTGTCTAGTCTACAGGTATATCTTAAATTCCATTTGTCGCCAATGGCAACAACAGATCTTTTTATCCTATTTGTCACCACCTGGTAACATATGGGTTTTTGTTTCCATTTGTCGCCAGTGGAAATCACCACTGGCAACAACTGAGACTTTTTCATCCCGTTTGTCACCACCTGGTAACATATGCGATTTTTTTCCCATTTGTCGGCAGTGGGAACAAAGCCAGTGGTGACAACTGGGAATAAGCCAAGCGATCCAATATTAGGCATATTAAAATAAAAAAGACATTATATCCCATATTTATTGTACAACTTGTTTATATGCTTTACTAGAGGTTTATTTAGCAATGTTCCGACATCTTTAGCGAAAACAAAGTCCAGGTGATTAAACTTGGGCCACGAGCAGCCAGGTCTGATGTCTTCTAGGACTCCAGTCTCGTTTAGTTGATCAGCGAGCCGCATTATTTGCTGTTGACAAGAACATTTAAATCTTAAATAAAAGATAAACTAAATCTTTATTTACACACACACACACATATACACAAAAAGTCAATGTATACAAAAATTAAGGCCAATAATTCACATATTACGTAATTATCGAAGCCACAGAAGCTCTGGCATTATATAGGCAATGCCTCGGATACTGACTAACTAAAGCTTTCACGAGACGCTGTGGTTTATACAAGCTCATGTCCTATCTCAAACTAATTGAGAGTAGAGTATGAGTTCCCAAACTTTTTGGTTTACCGCCCATTTAGGCAAGACAAAAAAATTCAACGCCCAACAACACAAAAAATAATTGCAAACACTTATTTTTTTATATTAACTTAACACAAAAAATCACAAAGAAAAAACTATGTACTTTAGTTTGTATGGATTATTCAGGTTCTTTTTTCAACTACTACCGCCCCTCTAAGATTTCAGCGCCCATTGGAGGGCTCTTTGGGAAACTATGGAGTAGAGACTCGACTGTACAATGAAGCAAAGGAAACGCCAAACCACCCTAAAAATAATAATGGGCAAATCCCACTGGTCAACAGAATTTGTCCAGGGAAGATCCGCCACCTTACCTATTTCTGCCGCCCAACAGTACTGTAACTATTACTGCGTTCCGGTTTTTGAAGGGTGTGGTGGTGAAATTCCAGGCACATGGGACTTGTTAACTTATGTCTCATAGTGAGTAGTACTGCAACTGCTATGGACAAGCGAAGGTCCCGTCACTTGGTATTGTAGTACAGCCAGGTTAGGTTTCTACTAGTTAATATTTAGAATTTTATAAAGAATAGAAGGTTGATGTCAAAAGGACAAGATGGGAGTTCTGGACAAAGCTTTCAAATTGAATACACGTAGTAAAGTTTATGAATATAATCCTCGTTTCTCATTGAAATGTGCCTCTCGCTACGCTAACCCACGACTACGTCCCTTACAGTATCATAATAATAAAAAACTCCCAGTGACTCTTTAAAGATTTACATATTATGATTTTTACGTTTTACACCTTTGGACGCGACTGTACTGAAAAGTTATTATATTTTTCCATCTTCCTTTTTTTGTAATGTCTCAAATAAACCTTTTTTTAACAAGCAGTATTGAATTAAATTCCTTTGTAAAAGTAATTTTAAAAGAATAAAGATTGAGACTTATTTCCAATTTAATGGGTGTGTTAAAAAAATTATGCATCTGCACTTAATTGTAGAAACTTGTCTGCATATTCATCTAATTATTAAAAAGAATAATAAGTACTTAACTGCTATACATCGGACAGGTTGACATTACAGCAATAAAGAGGATAGAAGTCAACATGATTTTACACATAGGTTCATGTCCTGTCAGGGCGAAGTATCTTTTTCTTGTGTTCAATCATTGTAACAAAGTAGTGGAGTAATTTCACAAAAAATTAATGAATATCCTTGTAATAAATTTTAACATTATGATATTCAATAAAAATTAATAAATAGGATATTTGACAAAGTTGTGAAAGACCTATTTGTGATTTCCGGGTCTGAGATTGTCGTAATCAATTTGAGATAAAATTTCATAAAGTTTGTGAAATGTGTATATACATTAATAAAGCTGATCATTGAAATAAAATAATAGATAATTGGATTGCCACACATGACATTGTGCGTACTTAATATTTAGCAATAGTGTATTGAAATTATAATATTACAAAACCTTTGCATTGACAATGTACGGACAACGGCACATCAGACTACACATTTTTGTTCGAAAATCGCCTCCATTGCAACGGAACAAGATACGTCAATGTGTAGCTTCATGACCTGGCGTGTGTCCATGCTGGACAAATTTTTGTAATGATAGCCTATTTATAAAATTTGTGGTTACCTTGGAAATAACTTTGAATTGTTGTGGTGATTCCTCATTATTGTGCTCATAGCTATATGTTTTAAAAAGCAGAGAAGCGCTACTTTTTTCTTGATGGAAAATGACCTGCGCTTATAGGCATTGGCAACACTACGTCGTCGTTCGCCATTTTACATTAAAATATTTTTGGTATTTCCACTGGTCCGAATAGACACAGATAAGAAGTGACATGAAGTGGTTAAACCACCAAATATTAATTCATAACTTTTTACGAATTCCAGAAATAGTTTTACTACATCATAGGATAAAAGTATTCACCTAGAAGCTGAAGTACGATTTTAAAGTAATTCTTCCTTAAAAGTTATCGATTTTTGTTTCAGAAGCCCCTACGTGCAGTTTTCGGCCTTTCTGGCATGTTACTAATTATCAAGGAATAAATGATTTCTATTTCTGTCCAATAGTTTAGCTCTTTAAGAAGCCTATAAAAAGACGTTCGATGGTTCTATTTTTAAGCGCGTATCCAATCTGTATTTACAAGGAAAACAAGACTTACCGATGTTTGTGTCAACTGGTCGTTCTTTCCATACAATAGAGTTACTGGTACTTTTACGTTGGTTAAGTTGTATGTCTTCACTTTACCCCACAAGCCGTCTTCCCAAGAAGTGAATACTCCTGTAAACAACAAGTGATTGTTTTTGTGATTGAATTTTATCTTTTTTTTTTATTAAATATGTACCAATGCCCTAAGATACCTTACCCCTTTCTTTTGGTTTTGCGCATTTACTTTATAATTGATATTTAACCGACTTGAAAAAAGGAGGAGGTTCTCAATTCGACTGTATGTTCTTTTTTTTCTTTTGTTTTTTTTTTGTATGTATGTTACGCGATAACTCCTGTATTTGTGAACCGATTTTCATGATTCTTTTTTTGTTGGAAAGGTGGTAATTCCATAGTGGTCCCTTTTTATTTTGAAGAAAATCAACCACCTCAAAGGGTGGCTGTACACACATGAAGATTCATTTTTAGAAATCGCGCCTGACTTTAATTTAGGAGCAATTACTTTTAGCAATTATTTAGTTGATTTTGCTATTTCTCAAATTCAAGGCGTTTTTCTCTCTATATACTTTGAGTAGTGTTGTAGTGAGAACCTATTTTTATTATCTCCAGTATCAAGTCCTGTTGGCGATTCAATGAAACTTAGCAAATAGATGTAATTCCACGTACTTTTGAGGTCGGTTTTTTTAGTACTCTGTACTGAGATTATTGTATTCTGTATTTAACTAAGTATACGTTAAAGATCAAATTGGCTTAAGAGTCTATACTATCTCAAATGACTTAGGTTGTTTCCGCATAACAGTGAAATGTTAAAACAATCACTTTGGAAAAAATATATAATAAAATTGAAGATATACACTGATTGCTATACGGTGTGAAAGCACGATTTCTAAAATTTTCAAGATAGAGGAAACCACAAACTTACGTACCTCGAAATTTTATAAGAAAATCGCTGTATTCAATAGGTGCTTTTCATATACCAATGATTTCTTTTAAATTTAAGTGATCTAAATAGAACACGTATACATATACATTTATCAAATGGCTTTAATAAACTAAATTCTGAAATAAAGCCAGTGTCCCTGTCGCTAAGCAAAATGAATCGTATTGTACGGGAAAAATTTGTATTCGAACCGAGGTAGCATCGACTCTTAAGAAGTTTCTTAAAACGTCATTCACTAATGACACAATCTGGAAGTCGTACCAAAATTAATTTTACAGCTCACAGGTTAAACTTTAAGTTTGTTTAAAACTTTTCTTCACACTTATACTCCAATCCAAACTCGAGTTGACGTGACTGCTAACTCGAGTTAACTCGATTCGGTGCCTGACAGAGCAACGGCCAGTCGCGAGTAGAACTCGAACCGACCGATTCACCGAGTTGGACACGATCGGCCGGCCGACCGCGACTCGAGCGTGATCGAAGATCACCGAACCGACCGATTGCGAACGAATAGCCGACGCGCTGTATGAATTCGACTGGGCGGGAACCGAACCGAGTTCACAAAGTGTAGCTCGAGTTGACTCGTTATGCGAGTAACTCGAGTTAAATACCTCGACTCGCCCATCGGTCGCGACTCGATCGTGCTCCGAAGCGGCGGGCGGGGCGGGTCAACCGAGTTAGCTCGAGTTCATGAAAAATTAACTCGAGTTGACTCGTTATAGGAGTAACTCGAGTTAACCGCCTCGCTACCTCTACTCGCCCATCGCTAGGGGATCAGTAGGGCTAGCACGACAAGACGCGACACTTGCGCGAGATCTCTATGCGAGAGAGTAGCAATGTCTAGCGCTATTCGCGGCTTCGCGCCCTGTCGTGCTATTCGCGCTCTGTCGTGCTAGCCATACGGGTATCTTAGAGCATCGACTGTACAAAACTCGAAGAGAGATAAAATCAAAAGCTATTTGTAAACTATGATCTGCACTTACCAGTTATGGCAATTTTTCCGAAATGTTCCAATTGTCGCCAGGACGCGGGCTGGAATCTTGACAATATTGTTTGTGACATAGTCTGTAAGGTCAAAATTTCGTAATTATTATTATGAAACGACAATTAAGGAACAACTTTAAGGGTCATATTCCAGCACTCTACTCAATACTTAAGTTAGGACTTGAGTATTGAAGTGAGCACTGAAAATCATACTCAAGTCCTTGCCATTGAGGTCGTATTTCCAGTGCTTGAAATCATACTCAAGTCTGCTCAAATCCTGACTTGAGCTTTGAATACAGTTCTGGAATACGACCCTTAGAGTCCTAATTTTTGTAAACAACTTCTCCATCAATTATTTTGATTTACACAATCGTTTCGTTACGCACAGCGTTTATTCGTCTCTTGTAATCATGAAGCACCAGTCGAGCGTTGTTAAGTAACGATAGTTCACAGCCAATTTTCGGCACCTTTAGGAATCTCTTTGATTGTTTTTAGTAACAGTAGAGCTCCTTCTGAAAGAGTTCGTCTAGGGAAGTACTGCCACCTATTTCTGCTGCCAAGCAGTAATGTGAACAGTATCTATTGTGTTCCGGTTTGGATGGGCTAGGGTGCTTGACTTGTCAACTTATGCCTCAGGGTGACGGGCGCAGTGGCAGTGCCTGTAAGATGTTTGTGTTTTAAAGCCTGCAACGTTATGGATACGCGTGTCGTTTACCACTAGGTGCACGGCTTGTTCGTCCCGTCACTTGACTTGGTTTTATAAAACAAAAAGAAAACCATTGCGAAAATAGCGGAGCAGTACCTTCGACTCAAATTTTGATATTGGTTATGTCGGCTTTCTTCCACAACACGTCTTTACATTACATTGAGTATGAGAAAAGACAACGTACCCAATCGGTCTGCTCGTAATCTTCTCCAACTATAGCATAAGTCATTCGCAAACAGACGTCTTCCTGAGGAGTCCGCGCACCGCACATGCTGCCAACCATCCATTGCATCAGCTCCGGAGCAACTGTTGCCGATATCATTCCGCGCGAACGCATCACGTTCTGAAAATATGGAAGCATGTCAATAGTTATTTGCTATGCAAGGCTGCAAAGTTGTTGTTCTTCTTTCATCGAAAGAAAAAGATAGGTGCACCACAGTCCATCGTCAAATTCGAATTCCAAAATCCTTTTCCACGCTAGCGTGGTATAAACGCTCTTGCGCGCAGATTTCTAAAAAGGTATATATTTATTTTAGGTATTTCAAAATAAAATATAATGTATATAATAGTAATAAAAATGTTATGTTATTCTATAAAATCAATTGAAATTGGTATAACAAAACTTTTCTTACCACTATATCCATAGTCTTCAACGTTAATAACGCGAAATCTTTAACATTATCCAAATAGACTGCAGGGGCGAGACCAACGAAAGCGATAATCTTGCTGTTGTATTCTGGTCTTTCCGACATCATGGTGAAGAAAGTAGTTGTGCCCATGGAATAGCCGACATAAAGCAACTTTGATAGTCCAGTGATGTTCAGAATACGATCTATCATAGCTGGTGCGTCATATTTGCCGTGCTCGTGGAAGCTTAAATTAGAGGAAAGATTTTCTTGAGCTCAGAATCCTAATTTTATAAGTCAGACGTTTCAATGGAGTAAATTGTGAGTGTACTTCGTTTTCTGATCAAGTGTCCAAAAATAACTTTGTTGTACCAATATTTACCTGAATTCCCAGAATTGAGGATCACTCCTGTTCATACTCTGGTGTATAGTATGCAGATTCCCTCGAAGGTTTCCTAACCAAACATCGTATCCTGCATCTGCTAAGATAAATGCTGAAAAATTGAAGTTTTAATAAGAAATGGCATATACCTAGCCCCTTATTAAACAAAGTTTCTCTGAAAATATGAAGAGTCATCTACAACCAACAGTTCCTCTTTGGTGATCTATGATAAGTTGAACTATTGAAGATGTAACAGGAATCCAAAGGTGATAAAATGATAGGATGGTCTTTTACGTGGAAACAGGTTCTTAATACGGATGGTATCTAATGGTAGCACAAGTTCCTCATCATCATCTGGGCGTATTTTTTAATCATATCAATGCACTCTAACCATGGACTAATAATTGTTCTATTTATAATACTGTAACTTTGAAACAAATTTTGAATTTTCGTTTCTATTTCAGAAACTTAAAATAAACTTACATCTGATTTTTAATATATTTAATTTTTCTGGGAAATATGATAATATAATCATAAAAATACATAGTCTTTTATCTTGTGATTCATTTTACTCAAATACGTTAAGAAACTAAAACATTATCTTCTATTTCTGGTCCTCTTTTTCTCGCGAGCGTACAATTTTTGTGTACATTTATCTTTTTAATCTATAGATAGGTAGAATTTTTTTATGATGCCAGGACAAGTCGTGGGCCTAGTGGTAAGCGACACGCTTGTCCATAACAGTTACAGTGCCACTCAGAGCTTTACAACGCAAAGATCTTAGGGGCACTGCCACTGCGCCCGTCACCCTGAGACAGAATCACCAAATGCACCGATAACGTAATTATATTTACGTCTGTTGTTATTCATGCATGTGAGTAAGTAGTAGGCAAAGACGACCATGGAGTGGAAGTCTCAGAAGTCAAATCGTAGACACGGCAGACCTCGTCAGCAATGGCGGGACGATTTGTACTCCTTTTTAAAGGAGTCGCCAGAGGCAGCCCAAAACCGGGACCAATGAGAAAAGAAGAGGAGGCCTTTGCCCAGCCGTGAGACGCAACAGTCTTGTCATAAATCAAGTATTTATTCATTATTTGGTATACATGGACTGTGAAGAATGAAGATACAATAAAGAAAAAGAAAAGGATATCAGACTTTTCCGGTAGCTGAGAAAAAAGGTTATCAGGCTATGAAAAAAAGCTATTCCCAACGTAGAACATGCCCAGATGCTTTTAAGCACTCACAACAATTATTCTTTCCCAAGAACGTGACGTACAAAAAGAAATATCCTCACTCACCAAGGCTTCGTTCTGGCCCCATAATTACGAAGTCGCTGCTACTGCCCAAAAGACCATGGACTATAAGCACTGCCTTTTTGCCTTTAGCTGTGGCACCAGATCGTCTCGGGGAGCGTGTACCCGCGGGTATCCTATGGAGCTGCAGGATGTAACCATCTGTTGTGTATGCACGATGTCTCTCTGCAGGGTAGCCTGCTTTAGTTATTAGTTGAGGCTGTTGAAAAATGTAATAATAAGTAAATTGGAGAGTTATACAAGGGGTAGAACTTGAGATGCGTACCAGTGTGCGTTGCTCTCGAAAGCTATGATTGACGCCAATATAGAGAATTTACTAGACCTCAGGTTAATTTCTTTGACCTGTGCAAGTGTAGCTTAATGTGTCTAGACAATAAAAGGCTCTAGAACATTGAATATCTTTCTCACAGCCGCATTTTCGAGAAGGTAGGTAGGTACTTTTTAAGGGGGTAGTCCATTGCGAGAACGACAGCTTGTCAATTGAAACGTCGACGACATAAACCGAGTGACGTTAACTTCTAAGTTACGTACATATGTTTAGTTGCATCAGGTCTCACTTACGACGTAGTGAAACCTGTATGTCGAAGAAGGTTTACAGGCCTTGGTAAACTTGAAAAGTCGCCAACCCGCATTAGGCCAGAATGGCGGCAGGCTATGGCCGAAACCTTCACCTTAGTTGCGTCATGGACCAATAATGCAGGACAAGAAGACTGCTAATCTTCATACTACGGATCGTAACTCATAAAAAGGTCAAAATTTCGTCTTGTATCTAGATGATGCTGATCAACGGCCTGGAAGTAGTTTGTACTATGTAAATGGTCGTGGATATCAATTGTTTCCTCTTAAATATGAAATACAAGTAGACAGTTTTTTTTCTTGTAGTATTATTCGAATATTGACAAATGAGCTAAAATTCTTTTCAGACCTTGACACATATGCGTATCAAGAGATGGCATTGTGTGTTACAAACTAATTTATAAATTACCGCTTGCTAATATGGATAGATGGCGTAAATCAAAATAAAAGATTTAGTAGCAGTAGAGCTCCTTGTGAAAAGTTCGTCCAGGGAAGTACTGCCACCTTACCTATTTCTGCCGCCAAGCAGCAGTGTGAGCATTACTGCGTTCCGGTTTTGAAGGGTTAAGGGTGCTGGTGAAATTATAGGCACATATGGGACTTGTCAGCACAGTAATGCTGACATTACTGCTTGGCGGCAGAAATAAATAAGATGGCAAATACCGGAATTATCGCGTAACATACGTACAAAAAAATACGGACGAATTGAGAACCTCCTTTTTTTGAAGTCGGTTAAAAGGAAAGTGCAACAACTTCGCAGGGCTTAGACTATTACTAACATCATAAACAACAACTTTTGTTCCGTGGATTTTAATTTTACTTTCATACAAACATAAATATATTTATATAGATCGCTCTAAACGGTAATAACTCTGTGATGACGGGGGCGAGAATCGTCACAAAGGACGCTTGCACGTTTGAACTTGCCTTACTACCAAATATAGATCTAAAAAGTGTCAGTACAACAAAAACTTCAAATCGAGTTCTTAGGTTTTCGCGATTGTTACACATAGGAAATGAAACTATTTTTCCGGATTTAAATCGCGTATATTTGTTTTTTCAAACAAACCGACGTTTCGGGCCCTTTACAGGTCCCATGGTCACAGTTGACTGAGGTGGTACAGTCTTCAACCAGTTAAGTCTAATATTGATGCAAACCATTATTTTTTCACTATAGTTACAATAGTTATTAATTAAATACCTTATTTTTAATTTTACAAAGAAAACATTCCAATTTACGCTATATTAAGTTTTACAAATTATTTTATTGAATGAATTTTTATTAAGTTCAATTTATTATTAATTATTAATAGAAATTAGAATAAACTAAAACATATTAATTAGTACTGCAGTCTTATGTCTGTTTGGGATTTTTCATTAGAGGAAATAGTGGATCCCAAACTGGTGGTACGGAGAAACCATCTTCCCTGTTGAAATTAGGATGTTTTTTAATTTCAATGGCCTCTCGCAGCATCCTGGGTAGATAACGGACTTCTTTTGCAAAAACTTCAAAAAACTTCGAAGTTTGTTTTTGGTAAATTAATTATGTTTTGTAAAAAGTCAAGGAACAAAAGTTGTCGTTTATGATGTTACTAATATAGTGCTGCGAGGTTGTTAGTATTTTAAAAATAACCCTACAATAAAGCATCCATCATCATTCCAATTCACATGTAAATACAATAGTGCACTTTGCAACATTGTACCGTGACACTTGTACAATTTATCCATTTGACTCTACTTACTCTCTTCTCTACCGCGATATTGAAACTTCACTGACAATTATTTAGGGTCACTGAAATAATTACAGAGATTAACAAAATGTCATGTTTTTTATTTAATTTGCGACTTTTGCTTAAAAATAAATTTCTTTGAAAAAAAGTGAATTATTCATATTATAAATTTTGTCAGCCATGATCTAGGGAAATGTAAAGGGCCTGTGTTTGTTTGAAAAAACAAATATACGCGATTGATGATCGAAAAACGTTTCAATTCCAATGTAACAATTGCGAAAACTCTATAGGTACTTGTATAAGTTTTTAAAAATTGAATTCTTTAACTAATATAACGGATAACTCAGGTATTTAAGTCAAATTTTTGCTCAACATGCTTCGAACCAATTCGTGGTCCTTAATCATGAGATTCCGCGGCAGTGACTGTTATTATAACGCACACACTCCACACAGAAAAAAAGGATTTCTACTAATAAGAAAGAGCAATTTCTCAAAATATTTGCTAATTCTGAAAAAATGTTTATTAAAAGTAATAAAATATTGTCATTACAAAAATACTGCTTATCTTTTTCTAATACAATTTTACTCTTAACTTTATCTAACTTTTAGACAAATACGTTCACTTCAAGATTTTATTTCATTTCTAATCAATTAATTGGACATTACTTACATCAAGAAATTTTACGTAGTGTCTCTAGTTTGTTAGGGTGTTATTTGTAGTCATAATTTAAGAAATTTGGTTTGAGCAGTAGCAACAAATCAAACTACACCTGGAACAAGCACAACTTTAACATTCAATTAGTTCCGTCACGCCGCTGCTAGATGGCATAAGTTGTACTCTGAAACGCGCTACCGTTTTGTTAACTTCAATAGCATAAGTCATCTCATATATTTTGAATTGTTATGTTGTTATTATATGGCATTGAACGTACTCAAGTACTTGAGAAAATTCCCTCTTATTTCTGCTACTTTAAGGTTTGGCACTGAACTGTGTGTTTTCACGCTATTGGACATACTGTTGGGTCATTGGGTCCAAACCCTGTAAATTTACCTTTTTTGGTATTAGAAAACATAAATCTTAAGTCAAATAATTAAGTACCTCTCAATTTTTCATTCTTTTTTTTTTTCAAGTCAAAATCGGACATTTCTAATAACTAATAAATATTTTGTTGAATCTAGAGTGGCTTTGTGACTGGAAGTAAATTATTTTGCTCTTGGATTAAATATTTCTGTCTTATAACTACAATACACCTTTGAGACGTTTTTTTACTATTATCAAGTAATTATTCTCTAGCGTCTATAGGGAGAGGATCGTTTTGTTGGATTTAATAAATTTGTCTTCATAAAAAGAATTTTGTCTTTTTCTAAGTAATCTGTTTTTACCGTGCACATAGACCCGCACTAGGGAAACCGCTGTGTCGCGGGTGCCATGGACATATAACCACAAATTACACCCAATTCACGAGAGAAATAAATGTAGCCCATACAAATGTTTCTCCCGACCTGGGAATCCTAACCTGGGACCTCTGTGTGGCAGTCCGGCAGGTCATGATAACCGTTCGGCCAATGAGGCTGTTCAGATATTTTAGTTAATATGTCTGAGTCTCACGGTGGTTTTCTATTTGAAATTAGGATTCTGTTTTTAATATGTAAGTTTACCAAGATTTAACAGTTACTTACTACGTTGAAGGAAATCATTGTAATAAAACGAACATATCGAAACGAGCATAACATAACAATGGTCACAACCCTTGGAAATAGTGTGAATTCCCCAACCCGGCCATACCCACAGGTAATAGCCAACAGTCCCATCTTACTACTTAAGTTTTGTTTATAGTTCCTCTTCCTATTAAACTTTGGTTGTACGGGAAGGGCACTATTACCTGTGCAAATTTGCACAGGGACCTTCTCTGTCAGATCCTGATCCTCATCTCAAAATCAGCCCGTTGTCACAGATTTCATCCGGCTCTCAAAAGGCCTTGGTTGAGCACCCCCGGATGCACGTGCCTATTACTGCTGCCAAGCAGTAATGTAGCATTACTGCGTTTCAGTTTTGAAGGACAAGAATGCTGGCGATATTACAGGCATTACATAGGACTTGTCAACTTATGTCTCGGGGTAACGGGCGCAGTGATAGTGCACCTCACATCTTTGTTATCTAAGCTCTGCACGGCATTGCTACTGATATGGACAGACGTGTCGTACTACCAGGCGTAAGATTTGCTCATCCCGTCATTTAGTATTATAAACAAAAAAAAACGTACAGCAACCTCAACGATAGGAATCGTTCAGATAGGTACCGGAGCTGTTGGCTCGGTCATCTCCCGTGTGCATTGCACAACTAGCAGTTGTCACCGCTAAGCCGTTGACTTTAGTCGACTAGCAAATTTTCACTTTGGTAGCCAACAGGCGAATTTCGTTTATCTGCGTTCATCATCATTATCATTAACAGCCTATGCGTGCTATTTCGCCCGGTCCTCCGCTCGTTGCATCCATCTGCTGTCAGCATCCCTTAGCAAATCGTCACTCCATCTGGCCATAGGGTGTCCTACACTACGTTTTCTTCGACAAGTATAGCCAGCCCACTGCCACTTCAGCTTGCTTATTCTACCAATTTTGTCGACAACCTTAATTGTCGGATAACCACGTTCCGTACATTGTTCTTCAAAGAAATCTGCGTTGCGGCTAAATAAACCCCCTGCTAATGTTCCAAATTAACGTTCGCGACGTTCTTCGCTTAAACAACATTAGGTACTTCTAAACGTCAATGCGCCTTCTAATTTTATGACCACTCAACGAGGCTCTAAAAGCTTTCAGTGGTGACAAAACATAGTTAAACAATACTTGTCAGTTATTTCTTTGCTCTGAGTTTTAATACCAGGGATTTAGTGTC